AAGATGGCAGCATACTGCCGAAACATGTAGTGTGGAAGTGGTAAATGAAATTGTATGCACTTGAAGACTGTTAATACATACACATTATGAATATTATTATTATTTAACTGCAAATGGGTTTTCACCATGTGGCAGTGGTACTGCAGTAAGACAACAGACAAATAACACACATTACTACAATAAGACAACAGACAACACACATGAACACGTTCAAACAAAACACAGCACACAACATGATAAATATTAAGGAGAATTATGTCATATATTTGAATACATTAGGCACATTTTTCAAAAATGGACATGTTCACAGTCTGAAATTATTTTTTTTCTCAATGACTCCATACACATTAACAAATGTAATCCTAGCTTTATCAGTTGGGCCCAACTGAGTAGATATTACCTGAAGACAGGGACAGAATCGAGTCTCCAGAATATTGTGTTTTGAAAAATAAACAGGACAGTGTTTTTAGATAAAGACAGGGTGATGGAAAATGTCCAGAAACATAATTTTTATACTAATATACTTTCTTCCTTGTTAGAGAAGAGAGGCCAACAGATACAACAGAAGAAACAGAGGAGGAGTTTGTTCCCAGTTTGTTGAATAGTACGGTATACATAATTTCCATGGCTCTGCAGGTTTCTACATTCGCCATTAATTATCGGGTAAGTCCAAAATTTTGTACTTTCGGAAGAGAACAAATATAAGTTAGGAGAAATTACCTGAATAATAGCAATGAGGAACAATTATTGTGTGCATTTTTTGTGGGACAGATTTACCAGTTCATTTCAATTTGAAAAGCATGCATGAGGAAAGCTTGTGATTCGGGTAGTTTTGTTTATGGAAAATTGATATGTGTATCTGTTACTAATTATGTTGAGAAGAACATTTGCAGCCTTCAAACTAATGTTTTTCTCTTACTGTCTTATAATATGCTTTTGATTTACTTATTTTGTAGGGCCACCCATACATGGAGAGCCTCACAGAGAACAAAGCTCTTCTGTACAGTATTGTAGGTTCAGCAGGTGCCATTTTAGCTCTGGCAATGGGCATTTTTCCAGATATGGCATACCAGTTTGAAATAGTAGATTTCACTGCAGAAGTAAGTTGTTCCTTCCATATTTTATATAGTTCCATGTTATGATCTTCACCTTTGAGATATATAACTTAAATGAGAAACTGTACAGCCACATCTCTGTTTAGTGAATTCTGTTATCTTACAAACTGTCACATAGAATATTTATATTACAGTTCTGTCAACAATGCAGCCACTTTATTCCTTAGAATTTTCACTTTTTACAACATGTTTTGGCCCCAAGCAGCCATCACCAGGTACTCCAATTTTTCAAAACTGTTACCTGCATTGAATATTGGTCATACATTTCACATGTAACTGCATTTTTCTATATTAATTTTGTGGTTATGATCCAGCTAACATTAGTCATTTCACCATACACTGTGGCTTACTTTCTATTGCAATTAACTAACATTTTATTACAACTTTTAAAATTCAATTTAAATTTTAATTATTCTTAATTTTTTAAAACTTAAATTGAATTTTAGAAATTTTAAAGAAAGTTTAGTAATTGCAATAGAAAGCGAGTCACAGTGTATGGCGAATTGAGTAATGTTAGCTGGATCATAACCCCAAATTAATATAGAACAGTGCAGTTACAAGTGAAATGTATGACTGATGTTCAGTGCAGGTAACAGTTTTGGCGAATGGAAGTATCTGATGATGACTGTTTGGGGCCGAAACATGTGTAAAAAGTGAAAATTCCAAGGAATAAAGTGGTTGCATTGTTGATGGAACTGTAATATAAATATTCTATGTGAATGTTATAGAAATGCAACAGGATGCTTAAATACAATATTCTAACAAACTGTATCAGAAAGTCTAATACCAAAGCCCAACATTATACAAATTATTGATTATATCTCACCCATTTTGTGAGCTATTTCTCTAAGAGCATATAAAAATTAATCCTATTAACTTCATTGTCCTCCAAGGATCCACTTTCTTGGAGGTTCCTCCACAAAACATTCTGTTTCTATTTTCTGTTTCTGTTTCATATCTAGTCAAGTCTCCTTTATTTCAGTAACCTGACAGTAAATATTCTCTCTCTCTCTCTCTCATTAGATCCAAGTATTTCCTTGAGTTCCTTGTTTTAAAACACTTGCAGTTCATGTTCCCTTCTAAAGGTAAATGCAGACACTTCATGATCATTCAGAGCTGGCAAACATAGTTTCTTTTTGTAACTTGATTTTCAGTGTTATTGGAGTTACAGATGTAACAATTTTTACCTCTTTAGTGCTACACAGGCTGTGTAATTGATGGTACATTGTTAAAAACTTAAGCCTTAAGGTCACATTAGTGACAGTGAGTTAAATTGTGTTAATTTTGTAGTCTGTTGGAAACTGAAAGCATCTTGGATGAGCACTATCCTCTGGGATATAACATCATGTAATGCTTGCCACTTGCTTTCACGCCAGCATCTTTCTTAGCTTATTTAACCCTAAAGATGGAGGCATTATGTTCCTCTAGAACACTGCATGACTTTCAGTGGACTACATGGTGTTATATCCAAAAAACTCTTAATACCCATCATAACCACTGTTCTGAGAACCTCAAATTTGACATGAAAGTATCTTTATTGTTTTATTTATATTTAGCAAGTACCTTTCAATTTGACTGAAAATACACTTTTATAACTTCTTTGCCTCAAGTAAGTTTTAAACAGAAAGTACTGAAATCTGCATGCAAATGTTCCCCACAAAATATGTAGGTATGTGCGTAGTCTCTCAGGAGGCAAGCTATGGGAACTCAGTATGCAGTCTCTTATCATGTGCAGAGAAGGCAGTAAGGTGCACAGTGTATGATGAACTTGTAATAATATGATTTGTCTCATTCTAGTCTGTCACACTATTAATTACAAAGTGGATAATTTTCAGTCCAGTGTGACATACAAGTTTACAACACTTCAGTCTTTATTCACCTTACATGTTTCGATTCAAAAGAGTCATCCTCAGAGGCGCACCACTATGATCAGGAAACACTGTCACATAAGATGTTTTAACAGTATGCACTTAAGCTATGAATAATGCTCTCTATATAAATTTTTTGTTATTATCACGGTTAGTTTTTAATGTTTGCATTAAGCAACTGTGATAATAACAAAATTTATATAGTGAGCATTATTCATAGCTTAAGTGCATATTGTTAAAACATCTTATGTGACAGTGTTTCCTGATTGTAGTGGTGCGCCTCTGATGATGATTCTTTTGAATCAAAACACATAAGGTGAATAAAGACTGAAGTATTGTAAACTTGTATGTCACACTGGACTGAAAATTATCCACTTTGTAATAATATATTTTATTTTATGTGTATTTAACAGTTTCGGACCATCCTGGTGCAGGTGCTATTTGCAGACTTTGCTCTTTCATTCCTGGTGGATCGTGTTTGTTTATGGCTGCTTGGTGAAGGAAAGTTGCGGATTAAATGAGGAGTGAGTGTATGATTCTAGATTAATTGAAAGTACAGCGATGTAAGAACCTATTTTCAGCTGCCGTGGGCTTCAGTATTCCGAACTGACTTCTTCAGCATTGATGCGCATTTATTTAAGAGTCTCAAATTGAGGCAGTTTGTTGTAACATTTCAACTGGAACGTGTTGGTATTGAGTAAACTCTTTTAAAAAGAAACTAATTATTTCTGATTTTTACAGTCGTGTCCAAAGCAAAAGGTGAGATATTTAAAACCCTGAATTTGATGTCTCTAATTTCACAAAAATGTCTGTTACATTTTGTAACTCAAGAAAAAGGAAACAAATGTAACACTCTGTAGTTGTATGTTTTGCTGTGATGTTTCACTTCTTTGTGATAAAATTTTGGTATGATGTAGTGAAATGGTGAACCTAAATGGCTAGAATTCTGCGATTCCAAATACAACAGTGACTATCTTGAAGTTTTATTTAAAAGTATGTTGAGTAAGAATAAAAAAATCTGTGACCCCACAGGATGTTCAGCTGAGACAGAAGCTTGCTGCTTGCGATGGCATAGCAGTAACTTACAGTCCAACTGGAGAGGAACAGTGCAGGTTTCTTCCCAAGTATTCCCAACTCAAACATAACTCCACAACTGATTATTGTAAAAAGGCCACATACTTGCCAAATTTTTATGAGAGTTTCAGAAAGTGACCCTGCATTTGCCATGATGTATGCCTAACAGCTCATAAACAAGTTTTGTGATGTAAGTTTTCAGGTTTTTACGGCGATGACTATGAAGAAAGTCGTCTTCTGGGTTTAGGCGCTGTGTATTCTTCGTTTTGGCCAACGTTTCGGAGGAACGTTCCTCCGAAACATCGGCCAAAACGAAGAATACACGGCGCCTAAACCCAGAAGACGACTTTCTTCAAGTTTTGTGATGCATTCTGAAGTTTATCCCTGGGAGCTCAAGCACTTAAACATGTTATTTTGTTCATGAGCATTTAAACAGTGAAGCAGTTTTTTGTATACTTCACCCTTCAGGTTCCATCAGAGCTAAAAAGTATGTCTTTGAGATCAAGGGTTGTAAGAGACCAAAGACTTTCACTGATTATTCTGTTCCCAAACCCTCATATTTAACAGCCAGGGGCTTGTCAACAGGTATGTACTGCAGCATTGTCTTGCTGGAAATATCCATATTGTCTTTCTTCAGCTGTCACTTGGTTAGAGAAGGGATTAAATATATCATATATACCATTCTGATGGGAGCCGGGGTAGCCTAGTTGCTGTAGCGTGTGGCTACCTGCTGGGTGGCTGCGAAGTTGGAGTTCAAGTCCCCCTAGGGTCAATAATTTTCTGTTCTCCACATCGTCCAGTCTGGCTCTGGGGCCCACCCAGCCTTATATCTGTCGGGCTAAAGCAGCCATGGTGAGAACCTGACCATTCACCTCTACCTGTGTCAAGGTCAATAGAATGTGGATCTATACATCCACTCCTCTGTGTGTCTTCATGGCATAATGCTTACTTAGTTAAGCACAGGGACAACTTTACCTTTTTTACCTTTACTGTTCTGAATTTCTGGTTTTCTGAAAAAAATGTTGGGCCAGTGACTTTCCACTTATTTGCAGCACACAACACTTTTACTTTCATACTACATTGGCATGTATCATATGGCATGAAGATTTGTCTGCTCCATATTTGTACATGCTGCATATTGACTGATGCTAGTTAGCAGAATGTACCAAGGTAAAACTGTGCCTCATTGTTTATGAGTAGCATCTGTGGATTAACAACGCTGTTGTGCACATTTTGTCACACCCAGTTGCAAGAGTGAATTCTTGCTGTGTAGTTTTGTTGCTTAAGTTCATGCCCAACTTATCTTATACAGACAAAATTTAATTTGTCTTGTTTCTGTGATTGCAGTGTTATATATGTTGAACATGCGGGATATATTGTGTAGGAAGTCTTACACATGAAGGTGGAGGTGTTACCAAGGGAAAAGGTCACACATGACATTTTATTGAACAATATAATAATAATAATAATGGAGACAAATTAGTAAAGAACCTCCCCCCTTTAACTAAGGTCAAATTTACACTTAAATTGAGCCTAAAAACAGGACTTTGTGGTTCGTAATCACCTAGACCTTCTAAGCTCAGGAGTACTGCCTTTTGTCGCACAATTGTCTAAGTTTGATTTGTTTCATTCTGGTCTGTCACCCTAACAAATTACAAAGACAAAACAACTCCATCCAGTGTGACTATTGAAGTTTTTACTACTTGAAAACTTAACACCCCTACATGTTTCGGTCCCTATAGACCATCATCAGAGGGACATCGATACTTTTTTGGAAACTACTATCACAATGGGTGTTTTGAGTGTTAAAATACATATACATACAATGTTTGTTATGCACAATATATACCAAATGCAACTTTTCCACTATGTTTTTGTTTTGACAAGTTCGATTGAACCATATATGTGCATTGGTTCTAGTAGTTTCCTTTTTATATTGATGTATTGATTTACCAGTTTAGCTTGACTAGCTTTGATGAATTTGATTTGTTTCATTCTGGTCCATCACACTAATACATTACAAAGACAAAACAACTCCGTCCAGTGTGACTGGAGTTGTTTTGTCTTTGTAATGTTGCTGTCTAAGTCTTGAAGCGGGTTGGCTTCAGGGCTCCCTGTCAAGCTTTCATTGCTTGTTTTTATACTGATATTTACCACATTTTTGGCCCCACTTGGCCCTTCAGTCGGTCCCATTGTGGTTTTCACCATTTTATTTCTTAACCCACGTCTTAACAAGAAACGTCCCAATTTATAAATTCCATATATTGATATTAAAGCCATCAGAATATATGCAATTGCGGAATATGCCTTGTGATATTGTGCATGCTGGTGTTTCCATTCTTGTTCCTTCAATTTTCCTTCTAGTTCTGAAACCTTAAAACTAGCATATTTCAAATTCTCCACGTGGGAAACTATATGTTTATAGTGCATATCCAATTTGATATGGCTAAAATTCTTGGAAACACCCAAACTTTCACAACATTCAAACTGCAATTCAACTTTTGACAGCGGTTCGCCTCTGTATTTTGTAGTATTTACTTGTACATCAGTCTTTGTGGCCAATAAGGCAATAAGACTATACCCTTTACAATTTGGCTGGATGATTAACTTTCCGGTACCTGTAAGTAAAATATCTAACGGTTCCTTTCCGGGACGCAGAATGGTGGTACTGTCACTCATGGGAATAAAATAAATCCATTCATTCCTCTGTTCTAACTGTGTCCAGATCGTGTGCGTAAGTTGTACAAATCTAGTGTCACAAATTTTCGGAATATTTATCCTTGGTTATAGCAACTTTATCGCACACGTCTCTTGCATGTGACTATTCAGTAGAGGTTCCGTTTGTTTACATATATATTTATTTGATTCTCTGGTTTTGCATCTTCTGAGTTCCTCTCTGTCATAAAATAGTATTGCCTTATCTGGTCGATGTATAGCAACGAATATTTACTCTGTGTTTCAATATAAACAAATTTATTCTGCCCTATTGCTACTGGCAGTGGTATCAACTTAAATATTTTAAATGTACCTCTACTGAATAGTGGTAAACTAATGATATACCCTAAAATACCATCCTTTATATATATATCACATACTTTGGGTATTAAATTGGCTGAATCCCTGCCAATAATAGTGGTGCCGTAGTTTCCTTTGGGAGTGCTGAAACACTTCTTTTTATGTTTCTATTATCAAACTGGGTGCAACTATTTGGGGTTGCAACACCCCTTTTGTGCATTTATTACACTTTCGATCATTAAGTCTAAATTCAGTTGCATGGCTGCGAGGGCATTGTTAATCTGGGCGATATGATCTTCGGCTGTGATTTTTATGTCCATTAAATTTAGTCCGGAGTCTGTACTTTCGATAAACCATTCCATGTAAGACTTTAATTTCATTAGCCCCTTTTTCATTACTTGGGTGTTATATTCTAGGTCTGAGATTGTTTCATTAAATGTTCCAGGTAATGCCTTTACATTGGACAGTTACTGTTGCATAAGTCCTCCAAATTTTCTTTGAAATGTTTAATCTGTACATTGTAATAGTTTGTGTTATCTGCATCTGTCCCAAAATAAAATTGTACTTATTTCGCTGATAAAATTCGGTGCTCCTCGTCTTTTCCTCAAGGGTTTTGGGTTTTCCCCTATTAATTAACGTAGTAATTTTTCACTTCCTTTTATTCTTTTAGAGGTTTCTACTGATAGTATATTAAAGTGACTACAGTCTGTCCAATTTTGAATTTCCGTAGCATGACATAGCTGATTTATATGGGTTATGTACTAACTTTGTTGCTCAATATCATGGTCAGTTTGGCCTAGATTCATGTATACCACCGTTTTCCAGTATATGTTATAGAGGGTTGTCTCCCCTAACTGTTCATAATACAATCCTGGTGATTTACCATACTTCACTGTTTTGTACTCTAGGTCATTTCCTGCAACTTGTGCTCCACTTGTTTGCCATAACCACAATATCCAACTCATACGCCCATAGTTGCCAGCAATACAGCTGAAATGCAAATTTAATTTATTTCCCTTTTATGTTTTTCTCACTATCTTCTCATTTAGTAAAAAGATATTAATCTATTCAAATGGACCTTTTGACTATTCCTTCCCTTTGTCTTTTTTTTTTGGTTACATTTACCTTATCTAAACTGATAATTTCATAGGGACCTACCCACTGAGAGCAGAGTTTTCTTGAACTCCCTCTCCTGACTCTCATCATACAACAGTACCTTGTCTCCTACTTGGAATGAAGGTAGTTTCGAGTTTCTGTCATACTGTTCCTTGGTTTTTTCTTTATGGTTTATTAAATTTTCCTGGGCTACCATAAAGGCTGTCTATAACTAGCCCTTTAATTCGATTACAAAATCATTGTAATTGTATGCTCGGGTTTTCTTGCATTGCTGAAGGCATAGTAGCCTTGAACCCATATACTAATTCAAACAGCGTGTAGCCTGTGGATGTGTAGGTAGATATGTTGTACGCATGTACCGCATATGGTACCCACTCATCCCAGTTGCTTTGATCCTCTTTAATATAATGTCTTACATATTCTTTTAGCACTCTATGGCTCCGTTCTAGACTGCTGTTACTTTCAGGATGAAACGGCATTGTCTGTAACTTCTTTATTTTCAACAGTTTACATGTATTTCTGAAAACCTCACTTAAAAAATTTGAGCCTTGATCTGTTAATAACTTCTTAGGGGTTCCAACTCTTAAAATGATGTGTTTTACAAATTCCCTTGCTACCGTTTTGGCATCCTGCTGTGGTATCGGAATGGCTACTAAGAATTTACTTAGTTTGTCTTGAAACGTCAGAATGTATTTGTTTCGCTCTTGCATTTCAGTTAACGGTCCTATGACATCCAGACAGCATTTTTGAAAGGTTGCTGCACCGTAGTGGTGGTTTCCATGGGTTCTTTCCCACGGGGACCTAACACCTTATTTACTTGGCAGCTCTTACATTGCTTCATATTGGGCCACGAATAATTTCCGCTTATTACCGTATATGTTTTGTTCATTCCACGATGTCCACCCAATGGTGTGTCATGCTATTCATACATTATTTGCCTTTTCTCATCATCACTAATATTTTCCTCCAGACATTCTTCGCCCTTGAGCACTAACCCACTTATCCTACTCAGTGCATCAGCATTTGTATTTAGTGCTCCCTTTTTATAGACTATTTTGTAGTCATTTTCTTCTAATTTGATTCTGCGTCTTAGTAATCGAGATCCAGGGTCCTTAATGTTCATAATCCACATCAGTGGCTTGT